TATTTGGGGTTTTAGAGATCTTCTCAAAAAGGTTAAATGGTTAACAAGGAATATGACAATCAGAGTTCAGTGGGTAGGCAGATCAGCAAACTCATGAGCTGATTCACTTGCAAAACAAGGGGTTTCCCGAGATACTTTATTTTGGGCTTCAGTGTAAATTCTTTTGTACTTATAATTCTGTAATTAGTTTTAAAGGAAAGGTCGCATCTCGTGCCTTTCCACGGTTTGCATGTAACTCTTATTTGCTGGTTTAATAAAATTTCACTCATTTATCAAAAAAAAAGAAAGATTTATACATTGGTTACTAACTTTGGATCTGTTTAGACAATACTCCTTTGATGATATTTGGAGGAACTGGTACTCAGTGGCTTCAAGCTTAGTGCAGAAAGTTAAAACAAGGTTGGCTTGGGTACCTCCTTTTGAAGATTTTTTGAAACTAAACTTTTGTGGAGATAGTCAAGGCAACCTAGGTCCTTCCAGAATTGGATGGGCCATAAGAGATAAGGAAGGGAATCTAATAGCACTCTATTCAGGACAGGTTGGGAATGGAGACTCGTTGAAAGCTGAATTTTATGCAGCATTACAAGGTGTCCAGATAGGAAAAGAAATGAACGTGGAGAACCTGCTATAGAGATGAAATGAAGAAGTTCAAATGACTAACACAACATATGAATCTAGTTATACAATGAGTGGGGAGGGAAGCTAATTTTTTTGTTGATTTTTTAGCCAAGCAAGGGGTAATGAGGGATAGTTGTTTTGGGCACTGTTGTAAATCTTTCTGTTTTGTTTTTTTTTTTCTCTCTCCAAGAGTGAAACTGCACCTCACACCTCTCTTTGGGACACTTGTAACCAGTGTTCAGAAAACCAGAGCGGACTGACCGTTTGGACCAATTGAACCGTGATCCGGGGCCCTTGCTGGTTTGATCACACACCAAGAACTGTTATGTCTAAAAATCCGGTGAAAACCGACTGACTGTTCGGTTTAACTAGAAAAGGACTGTGACAAGACTTGATCCCATGACTTCTTTTTTCATATATTGCTTAATTACCACTAATCTACTTCTTTACTTGTGGTATTTAATGACTCTTTATTGTATATATTACTTTATTACACACATATTTTAAAGAAATGTAAATTAAGAGACTTGAACCTTGGTCATTTGCTTTAAAGATTAAGGAATTTGCCATCCATCCACCATATTTAAGCATATTAAAAGTTATAAAATATATTTTTTATAGTATTTATATAATCCATAATATATACATCATCACGGTTCAACCCCGGTTGAACCTCTTTACCCGTGAACTTCTCCCTTCTCCGGTTCTCTGAACATTGCTTGTAATGGTTACTTATTATTTATGATATCAATGAAAATTTTTTATTCATAAAAAATGTAGCAGAAATATGATTATTGATAGTGCTTTAAAAGTGCAGGGGGTTCTTTGCACAAACTTGAAGTTCAAAAGAAACTAAATGTTTTGAAAAGCCTATTGGCTCCAATTAGAATACATAAAGGAAACATATAAAACAGGGGTGGAAACAAAAGTTGGAAAGAAAATTTTTATGAGGGGTTGGTTGAGGAGAAGAAATTTCACCTGGTTGACTGAAACTGATATGCAAGCCGATACTAGCAGGAGATTTGAGTTTTGAGAATGCTAAAGGGGATAAACAGAGCTTTGTTGGGAAAGTGGCATTGGTGTTTGACTATGGAATCAGAATATTTGTGGATAAGGGTGTGGAACAAGAAATTTTGATTGGGACCCAGGTATTGGTTATTTAACTCTTGGGTTCTTAACGCAGAAGCGCATTATAGGCTTTTACAATGATTTTATAAAAGGGGTAAAATGAAGGTGGGCAAGGCAATATCTATCAAAAAAAAAAAAAGGTGGGCAAGGCAAACAAAACACATTTTTGGATGGATTAGTGGTACACAAGAGGGTTTTAATGGAAGCTTTATCTTCCCTGTTTATTACCTCTCAAAGCAGGGAAGTTCTGCTAGGCGATCAGTATGCGGTATTAGTGGGGGTACAGTCTCCTTCATTTAGAAGAAAATAGAAACTTAAGTGATTGGGAGATATTGTCCAGGTTATTGAAGTCAGAGAACTTCATGGTTAAATCTTTCTTCACTTATTTCAATGATGTAGAGTGGGAAAACTTGCACTCCAAGGTGATTTGGGCTGCTCACATCCCATCTGTAGTATCTCCCTTATGGCATGGACAGCAGGGTTTGGCAAATGTCTCAAGGGATAAGGTGATCTCGAGAGGATTAGGCGTACTTTCATTGGCCTGTGTTTTCTCTTCTATAATGAGGAACGGGAGACAGTAGACCACTTAATTCTGTACTGCCATTTTTGGCTTGGGGTATTTATTTATTTTTGGAAGCTGCTGAGCTTTCATATGGTGCTGCCAGTGGAAATGTGTTGGAGCTGTTTAAAGGTAAAGTTGCAAGGCCTGAGTGAACACAGAGGGATATTATGGAACATACCAGTGGTAATATTTTGGACTGTATGGGGGAGAGAGAATTTTAGAATGCTTGAGAACAAAGATTCTTCCTTGGAGCAAGCAATTCAGAAGGCTGTATCCATCAGTCATATCTTGAGCATGAAATGAGAAAAAATTAGCCGCCTGGAAAAGAATCACCTTTCTAAGGGTGGAAGGGTTAAGTTAATTAGATCAACGTCCTTTAATCTCCTAGTTACCTTTCTATGGGATCCAGGGAATGATAAATATCAAGGTTTAAAATGTTGTTGTCGGGATATCCAAATATAGAAAACATGTTGGAACAGTTAGAAATGTCGTATGAAAATATTCTAAAAATTATAGACATAGTGGAAACATTGTGAAATATGCAAAAATATAGAATACTATTTATGTAATGATAAAAGATGCATAGGTAGACCTTTTAAATTATTATCATGTTCCAAATCATCAAAACTACATGATAAGGTGATAAATTTAAACTCGTAGAAAGTACAAATAATTCTAATAAGTTGACTAAATAATTTATTATACGATAAAAACTATGATTTATTTTCATGTTTGAGAAGAATTTTGAGCTGGTTCAAGGTGGTAATTATGTCCACTTGGTGGGAAATAACACTGCTTTGTGAATGGTAGACTGTTTAGAATTACAAAGTTCTTTGCAAAAGTTTCACCATGGTATCAATGGTTGACATTTTTAGGTAGCAGTATGTTGGTTGTGGTTACATTATTCTGGAGATTTAGTAACATTTGTTCATTATTGCTGTTACTGTTTCATAATATTGTTTCTTTTGATGCAGATTGCAGAATTTGTGTTTGGAATGCTGCTGATGGTAGCTTAGTTCATTCATTGACTGGTCATAGTGAATCTGTAAGTGTTACCTTGAGTGTGGAATATTTCATGATTATTCTGTTTAAATGTTTATTTGAAACTCAAACAGGCTGTGTTAATAAATAAAAGTTGAACAGAAAAATTGATTTTTTAGCTTTGTATAAAATGTGTAAATTGAAAGTTGAAGGTGCTAGAAGGGCTAGGAGTAGACCAAAAAGGACATGTATCCAAGTAGTAAAAAATAATTTAAGCACTCATAATTTAACAATGGATATGGCTTTAAACAGAATGGAATGGTGAAATTGGAACCATGTAGCTGACCTTATATAGTAGGGATAAGGCTTGGGTGATGATGATGATATAAAAAATGTGAGGAGAGCCAATGAAAGGGAACAGAACTCTTACTTTTATATATATGCAGTATAAATTATGCTCCCCTTTTCACATGTGACAGCTTTGTGTGTCCTTGTGTTTTCTATTTTGTTTGTATATTGGATAGTTGTATACAATGTTTTTATCATTAGTTGATTCAGATTGAATAGGGAAAGAAATTATGAAGACAGAAATCAAGTTCCTTCCGATTTCTTGGCTTCTAGTGGTCGTGTGTTCTATTTTGTTTGTCTATTGAATGTTTTTATCACTATTTGATTCAGTTTCCGGGAAAGGGAAAGAAAATTTGAAGAAAGAATCAAGTTTATTCAAATTTCTCGGCCTCCAGTGGCAGTTTCCTAGGCTTTTTCAATTTGAATTAACTTTTAATTTCTTTGGTGTCATTTTTCAGGTCATACTTGTCATAGGAGTAGATTTAATTAAATTAATGTTTTATTAGTTAGTTTTCAGTTTCTAGAAAAAAATTAAGGAGATCCCGGACAGTTCTTTCATGTGGGCTCCTTATGCTCCAGTTGATCCTCTTGCTGGAGTAGCAAGGAGTTACAAGGGGGGTTGGTTGATTGGTTTTGAAGGAAGTCGTTATTTTAGGTTGTTTTGTTTTGAGTTTTGTGTAGGGCGGTCACCTAGTGTCTTGTCAGTGGCTGCTTGTCACCCGTCTCATGTATGGTTTTTTCCTATTTAATATATTTTCTTTCATTATTGTTATCAGACCTGCAGTTAATCAAATAAATAAAGAAAAGTACCTGGGATAGACCCAGGAAGAGAAGCAATAGAGAAGAAGAGAAGAAGAATACAAAGAGAATAGGGATAACAGTCTTTGTCAAGTAAGAGTCAACTGCCACCCTTATATGTTAATATTCATAATGAAAAAAAATCACACAATTACCTCTGACAATATATTTTGAGAACAGAGACAAAACAGAACTAAAAAGAGAGGGAAAAGACAAATAACCCTACGAAGAACACAATATTTTAACACTCCCCCTCAAGTTGGAGCGTATATATGATACAACTCCAACTTGTTACAGATATATTTCATCCGAGCACCACTCAAACCTTTGGTGAATAGGTCTGCTAGTTGATCTTTGGACTTCACATATGGGGTAATGATTTTTCCACTAACCACCTTCTCTCTTACAAAGTCACAATCTACCTCTATGTGTTTAGTCCTCTTATGATACATTGGATTGGAGGAGATATGAATGGCTGCCTAGTTGTCAAAAAATAGCTTAATGAGAGTTATGACTGATATTCCCATTTCTTATAACAGCTGTTTCAACCATACCAACTCACATGTAGTGTGGGCCATGGCTCTGTACTCGGCCTCAACACTACTCCTAGCCTCTGCATTCTGCTTCTTGCTTTTCCAAGTAATCAACTTTCCTGCAAAAAACATGCAGTAACCAGTTGTTGGTTTCTTATCAGTGACTGATCTTACCCAATCAACATCTATATATCCCTCCAAGGAGAATTCTCTCCCTTTCTTATACAACAACCCTTGACTTGGAGCACCTTTCAAATAACGTAGAACTCTAACAATACCTTTCCAATGGATTGTCTTTGGGTTTTGCATGAATTGACTCAATAGTCCAACATTGAAGGAAATGTTTGGCCTTGTGATGGTTAAATTAATCGATTTCCCAACTACTCTCTTGTATCTTTTAGGGTCAGCTAGGGGGTCCCCTCACTATCAGACGTCTTCCTCCCTTGAGTAGCATACCCTGGAGGTTATTCCATATACACCTCCTCTTCTAGGTCACCGTGGAGAAATGCATTTTTAATATCCAACTGAAAAAATGGCCAATCAAAGTGTGTAGGCAGAGACATAAGCACATGGACCGAACCCATTTTAGCTATGGGTGAAAAGGTATCAGTATGCTCAACTCCATAGGTTTGTGTATACCCTTTGGCTATTAAGCGTGCTTTATATCTCTCCACACTACCATCTGCATGATGCTTAATAGTGTAAACCCACTTACAGCCATCTGCATGATGCTTAAGGTTTGTGTATACCCTTTTTTTTAAGTGCCCAAGTATGATTAGATTGAAAAGCATGAAAGTCCTCATCCATTGCCCTTTTGCATTTTGGATAGAGGAGAGCATCATGAAGATATCTAGGAACAAACATAGACGATAAAAGAGACAAAATTTTGATAGGGTGGAGATAAATGGGCAAATGAAACATAACAAGAGATAGGTTGTTCAGTATAGGCACGCTTACCTTTGTGAAGTGCAATAGGAAGAGACTAATCTGTCGATGGGGTTGGAAATGTGGAATAGGCTAAAGCACAATACCACTAGTGCCGTGAGCATACACTCTAGGGATTGGTGGTCGCATTGACTCTTGGACAACGGACAAGTGGGCTCCACAAGTTAAGGGGAGAGGAGTTGGGGATAAATTATCAAGAGAAGTAGGCTTCGCTGATGAAAAGAAAGGAACATTCTCAAAGCTCACATCAGGAAGAACAAAGGAGCGATGAAGAGAGGGGTTGTAGCACTTATACCCTTTTTGGGTCCGAGAGTACTCCAATAACAAACATTTAAGAGCACGAGCGTCCTACTTATCCAAACCCAAACCCTGGTGATGAACGAAACAAACAGAACCAAAAACATGTGGAGACAAAGGGGACGAAGATTGAGAAGGAAAGACAATAGAGAAAGGAGAGGAACAACGTAACACTGAAGATGACTTAATAAAAAAATGTAACACTGAAGATCGCATATGATTAATGAGGAAGCAAGAGGTAAGAACACTACTACAATATTTTTTAGGGATTGACATCTAAATCAAAAGTGCCCAAGCATTATCAAGTAAATGTCTATTGTTCCGCTCATCCACTCCATTTTGTTGTGGAGTAAGGGAGATGATTGATGTATAATGCCCTGAAATTCAAAGAACATATGAAATGGGCATTAGAAATATTATTTTGCATTGTTAGAACAAAAATATTTATTGGAGATACTAAATCGATTCTTGATTTCAGCATAAAAAGAGGGAAAAATATCAAACACTTTTGTACGAGATTTCATTAAATAAATCCGAGTCAACTTTGAAAAATCATCAACAAAGGAAACAAAATACTTAAAACCATTATAAGACTCAACTGGACAAGGACCCCAAACATCTGAATGGACAAGTTCAAAAGACTTGAGACTAGTAAATTCCCTTGGAACAAAAGAAACACGGTAATGTTTACTAAGCTAAAAAAACTTCAAACTGTAACTCACGAATAGACACAACTTTTGAAACATGACTGTTGAGAGATGGAAGAGAGGGATGACTGCAGCAGTGTAATGGAAGAATGTAGAGCTGTTTGTGATTCACCACCATAGTTGTCAAGGTGACAAGGCGCCCTTTGAGGCTCGCCTCGCCTAATCGCCTAACAGTTTTCTACTTCCTACTATAAAATGCTTTTTCATTCTTTCTTTTTTGAGATTATAATTATAAAATAGACATTATTAAACTATAATAATCATTTTGTGTGTTTATATACTAATTTCTTTTTATTATTTTCTTATTTATTAGAGTTTAATCAACACAAACATTGCTAAATGCTGTATGCCTGTATTGAACCTTCAAAGACTTGGAAACCTGAACCAATAAGTAAGGAAGAACTAAAAATTTTATCTAATCAGCACATTTTCCTCTTCCATATATTCTTCTACATCTTCTTCTTCTTCTTCTACTACTACTACTACTACTTTTTATTTTCTTCTTTTCATATAACAAAAATAAGGGTTCAGCCCTTATATTTTTTGAATTTTATTTTCCTTCTTCCTTTTCTTCTCATGAATATATTGATTTTCTAGACTTTAATATGAAATTTATACTTTTCTTATGAAAATCATGAATAATTATTAAAGAAATATGGTTATGGTACCTAGGGAACTACCCTAGGATCTATGCTTTTAACATAAAAAATCCATCGCCTAGGTGCCCACCTAGGCAACTAGGCGACAAGGTGCCCCCTAGTCGCCTAGCCTCGCCTTGGTGCCATGCAAACTATGTTCACCACCATCTAGATAATACAACCCTCCAGCTTCATGCCCGCCACCAATCGTCTTCCCCATCTCGATATCCTGGAAAATACAATAGGACGGAAAGAATGAGATGGAGCAATTCAAAGATTTTGTGAACTTGCTAACAGACACGAGACTAAAGGGAAGTTTTTTTCTTTTTTTTTTTGAGAAAAGATAACAGATTTCATTAAGATAAAAAAAGGAGAGGGGTATACATGTGATGTACAAAGCCTTGTCATAAAAAACACAAAAGACAAAGCCCACTACATTGGCAAAGTATGATCACTATTCTAAAAATCCCTTCCCAGCCCAGATTTAGCTAGATTATCAGCCACATGGTTCAATTCTCTAGGAATCCATCTGACGGTGCATTGTGAGCAAGAGACCAGGTCTCTGATTTCTAACAGCAAATGAGATAGTTTCTATGGGTCGATAGTCTGTCCTGAAGCCCAGCTTATAACATTCCTCGAATCTCTTTTGACTGCAATGAAACAGAGCGGATGAGACTGGGCAATTTTGAGGCCTTTCAGGGAGGGCCCTTGCCTTTGCTTAAGACGCATCAGCCGTCTTTACAGGGCCAAAAGGCCAAGGTCGCATCTCCATTCACTCTTCGGATCAAACCTCCTATT